CTGCCCCGCCCGTCCTCATGTCTCAACCCCACACCGCCGCCGCCGCCGAAACTTCTGTTGAGCAAACCCGAGTAGTCGTCCGTGCTGTCTCCAGACCTTTGTCGGCCGTGCAAGATGTCCGGCCTTTGACCCATGGCTTGCTCTGACCTTTGACCCATGACCTGCTGCTCGTACACAAAGGTCTGCCCCCCTCCGTCCTGTAGGTAGGGAGCCTTGTTGTGCTGTGTGGCGGGGATCTGTTGTGGTCGGTGGAAGTCGTCCTGAGTCAACATGACCCCCCCGGGGACCACGCCCACCGGGCTCTGACCGTTACGGCTAGGCCCGGCACCGACAGCAGGGCCGGGGAAAAACTGGGGCTGCTGACCCGTGGGGGAAGCCAGGGGCTCGTAGTTTGACCCCTGACCCTGACCTCTGTACACGGAATACTCGCCGTACTCCGTGCGGATGACGTCCCCGCGAGACTTCCGGTCAAAGCTGCCCCGCCCTCTACTCACCTCCCCGCCCACTGGCTCCCCGTGCAGCCCCGCCGGGATCTGAGTGGAGCCGACCAGAGCAGCGATGTGCAGCGCGTTCTCCGCCGTGTCCAGGGCGAACACGTGACAGTCCAGCGCCTTGACCCCCTGGGGCCGCCTCACCACACACACGACCAGGGGCGGGTGGGAGGAGGAGACGAGGAAGTGGAAGTGTTTGTCCAGCAAGAAGGCGTGTTTCTCCGGCACGGGCCCCTTCCCCTCGTCCACGGGCACAAACATGGCCTTAGGCTTCCTCTCGCTGGAGGTCTTGACGGGCGAGAACTTGAGCGCCTCCACATAGGTCACGCTAGAGAAGTCAAAGAACAGCTCCGCTTTGACCCGCCCGTCCTCGAACAGCGCCACCACCACCCCGTGCTGGGTCAGCTTGAGGGACGCGCTACGGGCACCACTGGACGAACGGCGGTACTTGAAGTACAGGTCCTTTACGGGGCTCTGGGGGGGAGGGGGGAGGGTGGGGGAGGAGAGGAAGAGAGGAGGGACACAGTGAGTCGACGGACATCGCAGTACACAATGAGAGAATACATACAGAGGAGTCCGCTTAATCCCAACACGGGTAATCCCCAAAACAGCTGTAGATCGACCCATAATAAAATCCCCGATTTGTTTCGCTTCTCTGTGAGTACCTTCTCTGTGAGAAACTTCTGAGTACCTTCTCTGTGAGTAACTTCTCTGTGAGTACCTTCTCTGTGAGTACCTTCTCTGTGAGTACCTTCTCTGTGGGTACCTTCTCTGTCCCTCCCTCAGTTACCTGCTAAAGCGGACTCCACTGTGGCTCTGTTTGAACCGTCACACCACTGAGATACCACTGTCACACATTTGTGATACCACTCTGATACAACCGTCACACCACTGAGATACCACTGTCACACATTTGTGATACCACTCTGATACAACCGTCACACCACTGAGATACCACTGTCACACATTTGTGATACCACTCTGATACAACCGTCACACCACTG